TTTTTTTTTTTTTTTTTTTTCTTCATTTCAGGGTTGTGCATTTTACAGCAAACCTGAAGTCATCGTGTTCAAGGTGTGTATCACACAGTGCCAGACTAGATTTCACTCGTAACTTCAGTATTATCTACTTTTATAAAATACGTGAGATACAACGCGCGAGCTCATTGGTCGATAGGTGTGCTCAGATGACAGTGCGTTAACACGGTTGTGACGTTTTAGATGCGCGCGTATTTTTGAGAAATATTTCATAATTGTCTCGAATAGCGAAGCGCGCGAGTGACGTCATAACTCAGACAAACTCAGACAAACAAACCGGAATGGTGGAAGATTTGAAGCTTTTTCAAGCGCTTAAGCAAGTGTTCCTAAAATGATTTTTAAAACGAAAAGTTGGCGTTCAATTTGCTCCTATTTCTCTCAGAACACGCTTAATATGTTGTCTGACTCTTGCGGGGTTCCAATAATTTGCATTCCATTTTTGTTCTTCGCGCACTTCGTTATTCTCCGAATCCCCCTTGTGTTTAGATGAGGCTATGTAAACATGGAAAAAGTGCTATTTTAATTAATATAATGACTGCTTTATGTTTTTCAGGACTTTGATGTTGGGAAGTCTTACAAGAAGAAAATCCTCTTAACAAATATCTCGTACACTCAGAACTTTTGTAAATATGTTGGAATGTCGCACATTCTGAAAGACTTCATAGAAGTGTTGTAAGTAAAATCTCCGGTACACAGTATACTCATTAACTGTTATTTAACTCTAGTTAATTATACAGCCGCCTCAATATATTCTCTTTGTTTTTGACAGTTTTGATCCGCCTGGTGTCATGTCTGCTGGTTTGACCTGTGATTTTGTAGTGACATTTAAGCCCATGGTGAGTTAAGAACGTCTTATGGCAGACCTTCGTGTCTATCCTTAGATAACCTATGCAGCAAATGTTGAGTTGACACAGGAAAAAAAAAACCAAACGTTGCGTATGGAGGCGGCGTGGCTTAGTGGTTAGGGCACTGGATTTGTAATCCAGAGGTCACTGGTTCAAATCTCCTTCCTGCTACCAGATGGAATTGTATTTTGCGGTCCCAAACTCAACTCGTCCACGGTTTGCAAATACCCTCCCACCAGCTGAAATTTTTGACACAGTTTCTGTTCAATTTACAATATATTTTGCTTATCTCAGTGTCCCAATTAGTACAGCAGTGCTTAACACTTCGGCGCTTCAATAAATTGATTTGTTTTATTATTTTTCCTTGCAGCTGAACGAAGATTTGGTCGGTCACATAGATTTCCTTGCCCAAACAGGACCATTTTCAGTTCCAATTAGATGTGTGACAAAGAAATGCCAGGTAACTGAAATGTAGAGAATTTTGAAATAATTATAAGTCAATTCGACATGTAATAAACATTATTTACTGTAATTTTTCTCAAACAATAAATTTTAGCACTGACCAACTGGTCATAGAGTCAACTAACATTTCACTATAACCGCTTAAAACCATTGTTAAAGGGGCATGGATGTGCAAAATTGGAGAAGATTAAAACGTATTGCATTCGGGTGGACTTGAAAAACATCGGCCCAACGTAAATGAACAAAATTGCCTCAAACACTGTTACCTAGCCCCTTTAATTTTCAAGAGTGATTGAAAGCAAATTTCTCCTTACAATGACAACACAATACCAAGGAGATTGGTTTTGAGAAAAAAGAAAATCATCAACTAGGATATATTGTCTTGATTTACTACCCAATTCCACGAACCAACAGCAAAAGAAATGTATAACAATTTGTAACGATAATTTGTCAGTGTGTCGAGCTTAATTCTGACAGGGTTGACGGTCTCCTTGTTTACCTTAGATCTCTGTTGATGTGACTGAAGTCGAGTTTGGCAGTCAAGTTCTGGGAGAAACAAGGAAAAGAATTATCAATGTGACAAATAATGGAGCATTAGGAACACAGTTCATATTCAGAAAAATAACAGGTATTCTGTTATCTAGGATGTATTTGTTCATGATGGGTTGAAACTGCCTTGCTTGTTTATGATGCGTGGCTGGATGTCAAAATTACGTCTGGTGGAACACGATATGGGGTTAACGGGAGCTGTTTTACGGAGCTGACAGACAGTTCTTTAAGTTTGACGGTAGGCATGTCCTCCTTTTCTAACAAACTGTTTCAATTCCACAGGTTTGGCAAGATCACTCTCATCTTCAGAGCTTAGCTCAATTGGCGGAATGGTAAATATGTTATCATTTGTTAAGTGTTTCAGTTTGTAAATTCGTTAGGTTGCGGGGGCGTGGTGCCTAATGGTCATTAAGTTGTACTCTGTCAGAGGTTTGGGTTCCAGTCAGTTATTCACGATGTTATGTTATATTCCTCAACTGTCCTCCCTAGACCGTGACTGATGAAAATGTCGCTCAGCAAGATTCCAACCAAAATGGTCAACAACAAAATCCTGAGGGGATGGTAGAGGACGTGAAAGAACCTCAGGGGGCTGGGGTAACAGCAGCGCCTGGAGATCCAGATCAGCAAGGTAATATTCTGACCATAGCTCTGATCTTAGTTCCTAGAACAGAAATTGTTTCCAGCTTTAGCGATCAAGCTTTTCTCAGTTTTCCTTTTGTTTCTCTGTTACGCTAAACGCTGTGTAAAGCCCGTTTTCTAAACACCTTTTGTTTGATTGTTTAATATAATTTTGTTTGTTTGTCTCACGTGTTACAGAAGGGGAAGATGTAAACAAGGCCTCAGCGGTCCGATCTGGCAGTGCAATTAAGTTCGAAGAGGGCTTGGGTACTACTGAGGAAGACGCTTCTGCTGCGGTAGAGGAGCCTGGGGAACAGCCAGATGGTTGGTATCCAACTAAAGTAGCCTTCAATGTTCTTAAATGTAGAATTAGTCTCATGTACTGACACTTAAAAGCAAACTTGTCAAGTCGTGTATTTTGTCCGGGTGAACTAGCAAGTAGGCGGAGGTCAGTTGTAAAATGCAATTCCAATGTTCCCTGCCGGATTAGTTCTCCGCGCCCAGTACAAAAGTAAACAAACACCATCAACATTATTCGCGGAAAAACAGTAAAAAAGGCTTACTACGATTTGCGAGAAAACTTTTAGCCTGGTCGCAACGAACGAAAATGGTTCAGGCTTTGGCAAAAACGGTTCATAAGCAAAGAACGTAATTTAGTGTGGGTAAACGAATGCTTAAGGCGTGCCAGGGAATGATGCATGCTACTGGTTTTGAAACAAAAAAACTCGGCGTCCGTACAAGACTCGACGTCTATACAAAACTGACCAGTTGTACGAAGGGAAATGTCATATGGTGTAGGCAAGATGATGTCTGTGGCATGTCGGAAAATGAGCATGTCATTAATGGTAAAACAATAGCGAAACAACATGAAGGAATCAAACGACCTCTTTTCCTTGGCCGGGTTGTTCGAAAGCTGGTTAACGCTAACCCAAGATTAAAAGTAAACCGAAGTATTTTTTTTTTGTTTTGCATAAATATGTTTTTCACTGCTTATTTTTGTGTACTTTGAGATTATTCAAACTCAAAGAGAACGCCAAACAATATACAGAAAACCTCGCCGAAAAGTTACAAAACTCAAATCAAAATTCTCGCTAATCCTGGGTTAGCTTCAGCTTTTAGCTTTGAACAACCGGCCTTGGAATCTAAGAAACCAGTCAGAGAATAGTTGTACTAATACCCCCGCTGCTTCTTCCCTCTTGAAATCTCACTTCTTTATTGATATTGCATGTAACTGACAGACATGTAACTTGAAGAATGGGCTTAAAATCAGAATGATGGTATAATAGAGAGACTGATTCTTTATTTGTATTTTCAGCCGATCTTCCTTCAGCTGCGGTGCCCCAGACAGCTATCTCGTCAGTTCCAACCGAGGTCTCCATCCTAGAAGGTCTTAGAGTGGGAAAGGCAAGTACCCATTATTTAGTATAACCTTCAAGAGATTGAACAAGACTTCATAACAAGAGACGGTCGACTGGCCATCAGTGACATGACATTAAGGCAGCGTCCACACTACCCCGTAGACATTTGAAAGCGCAGCTTTATTTCTACGGTTAGGCCTACCGTCCACGCTAATCCGTCATGAAAACGGCTGCTTTTCGTGTTCGTATGGACGGAAAACATTTCGAAAACGATAGCGACACGATAATCTTGTGGAGGCAGCGTGGCCGAGTGGTCAGCGCGTTGGACACGCAATCCAGTGGTCCCTGTTTCGAGTTCCACTCTGACCACCACCTAGATTTGTTTCTCGGTAGCCCCGAGTTCANAACTGACCAGCTGTGAGGATGAATTAGCCCGCCTAGTTTGACCATCTACAGGAAAGTTTTTCTAATAAAGAAGTTTAGTTCAAACAATTTTGCACGCCTGTGAAAAGCAGTCGCCCTCAGGCTGAAAATGTGAATGAAGCCCCTATTGACATCCAGAGAACACAGTTACAAATGTTCTTTTAATTTTTTTTTTACCACTGTGTACTTTATTGCGATTTCATGACTGTAATTGATGTTTCTTGCTCTTTTTCTTTTCATCTCCAGACACGCCCAGTTCCCTTCACAGTGAGGGGTATAGTGACATCATCAGATATAGAATTCAACGTACAAGACATTGATTTTGGTTTTTGTACGGTATTGGAGTCGGTGAGACGAACCGTGACTATTACAAACAAGTCTGTATTACCACAGCCGTTTGGCTTCTGTGGAGTGCCTGATGTGAGTGAATTGTTGAGATAAGAGTGTTTCAGAAAGCTTTATGCGATGTACAAAGCCTTTCGGCATTAGTAAGTGTCTGTCCACTCGCGTTTGGAATCGTAGCCGTGGGTGTTGTCGCCCCGTCTATGAGATCTACCAGACTGGGTGTGTTGGTTTTTTTAGCACCAGCCATCCGTCATTGCGTTTTTGCATCTGTCCCGCCATTGCATCTTTGAATCTGCCCCGCCCCAACCCGCTCTCTTCCCCTCCGACCAGCGCACTTCTAGTAGAAAATCAACCACGGTCCTCTCCAACCCGGCTTCTTTGGCCAAAACTAACTCATAAAGTGGCTCCTATGAACGCTTTCGCGACTTTAACTCCTTCGCAATTGTTCGTGTTATGTCCCAGTAATATTGCCAATGTATCTTGCATCGTATGTTTGTTGTCTTTTCCTGACCTGCACATCTTTGCGTGTTTTAATTCCAGACAGTTGATGTTCAACCGAATGACGGATTTGGTACACTGCTGCCGCTAGAAAGCTTTGATGTGGACATCATGTTTAATGCTAAAAAAGCCAAGGTGGGCGACAGATCAAATAGTCACTGAATTTAATACTATCTTGCATTTGCCGCTCCTTTAACAACTTAGCACAAGTGTGTTGGTCATTTAGTTCGCAGAAACCAATACAGTGCGTTTTAATAGTATTGATGATAGTAGTTGATCTCTAGACCTTGACAAAAGACCTGTAAATATTTTCATTCATTCATTCGTTCGCATGTCTCAGCTGTTTTGCGTGTTGAATAAGATCTCTATTCGCAGTTTACTCCGAGCAGTTCTATCAACAATCTATTTTATTGTCTTTATGTACGTGCAAATGGCGCATTTTGAAAACTTTAGACAATTGTTTTCTTGTTCATGGCCTACAATATGTCTCAATCCTCCCTTTTTAACTTGTTAGTTTATTATTGTCTCCTGCTTGTTACTATAACAAACTCATATTTTTCGGCGTATTTTGATTTTACGGTTATTTTTTTATATCGCAAGAAATGTCCTTAGATATTGTGTTCTTGTTACAGGAATACGAGTTTGATCTAACCTGTAAAACTGGTATTGGGCGCGAGTTTAAGCTGCGCTGCCGAGCTGTTGGTGTTCTTCCACCGCTGGAACTCTCGCACTCTGTCATTAAAATGAAGGCGACCGCTGTCTCTGACACGTGTGCGGCTCACATTGAGGTCATCAACTCTCACACCAGCGCAAATGAATTTACCCACCCTGTCCCCAGGATTGGATCAGGGCCCATTGTTGAGGTGGGCCCCACGTCGTTCGAGTTTGTGGTCCCTGCTGGAGCACCGCTGACTGTGTCCCCAGCTGTAGGATGTGTCAATCCAGGAGAGGTGAGCTTTTGATCAACATGTCATTTTTGTTGTTGTTGTATGTCGATTAGGCCCTCCATTCTCCCAGTCTGACTACTCTAACAAGAGACATTCAGTGGGAATAGTTTATTAAGGATGTGTCAGTCAGTCATCTGATGCAGATGTATTCCGTCTTACAACATAATCTGTATCCTTGCATATTGCAACTATTGGTTCTAACAACCTGTTACTACGCCAAATACGAAAAACCACTAAAAAATCACTCCTAAAATGTGGCCAAAAATATGTGGAAACTTATTCCTCATCTGATGCAGCAGCACGAGACCTCGAGGAAAGGATAGAAAATCAATAAGCTTGAGCATTTTACAATTATGCATACAAGCTGTTAAAACAAAAGCTTGATAATAAAATGTGGGCCAGCACTGAGGCTGACCGACCTAGAATGACCTAAATCTCCCGCCAAAAGCCTAAGTAGTCCTTAAACGTCCCACGACACCCCGCGAGCCCATCCATCGTGCCGTCAGGATAATAATTTCTGACTAATTCGCTGTCACTCAATCGTCAGAAATCACACTTCTCCGNTTGAGGTGGGCCCCACGTCGTTCGAGTTTGTGGTCCCTGCTGGAGCACCGCTGACTGTGTCCCCAGCTGTGGGATGTGTCAATCCAGGGGAGGTGAGCTTTTGATCAACGTGTAATTTTTGTTCTTGTTGTATGTCGACTAGGCTCTCCATTCTCCCTTCCCCGCAGTTCTTTCATTTGCGAAAGTTCAAGAAGCGCAAATCCTTGCATACGGCGACAAAACCGAGCTGTCCTACCGAAACGACACAATAATAGTCTTTTTCTTCGCAGCCGACAGAAATAAAGACAATGCTTAAGTTGCTTTGGCCTCTTCTAATACTTAACTGGAGATTTCCGAGTTTGACTTGACGAGAAACAATATTTTCGTGAATGTTCAGTGCCGTCTCCGGTGACAAAAGTTGCCCGAATTTAATACCTTTCCTGTTATCATACATTGACGTCAAGACAGTTCAGTTTTTCCCTGAAATTCAAATTTCAGGCGCACCAGCCGTATCCAAGGATGTGAGTAACTTTGTTCTTTGTTTCAGCGTTGCTTGGTTCACGTGACGTTTAGTCCCCGGATGGATCCAAATATGGTGCGACAGGAGGGCGTACGTATGATGGAAAGAGAAGCTGAGGCTGAGAGAAAGAGACAAGAGCAGGCCTCGCCCCAGGAAAAGCTTCAGGAACAACCTTCCGGACAGGTAAGTGTGCGCCAGTAGTTTCCATTTTCACCGTTATAATTTATATGCAACGTTAGCGGAGAGAACCGTTACGTTCAACCGTTGTCGGTGAAGAAACGTTTTATGTGACTATCGTCGCGTGATGTGCGTCACGACCCCGGAGGAGGGAGTACTTTGGGAATTTCTGGTTGGGGATGAGCCGTTGGGACCCTGGAACCCTTAGCCTATACCAGAGCTAGTTCAGCTGAATTTTGCTACCCTATACTAGAGTAAACTCC